TGTCTAATTAAGAAAACGAATGAGAATTAAATTTTGAGGGAGTGCAGGTGGTATTGCCACCCTCACGTAACATAATACGTACTGATACATGCATTATTTTTATATGCAACTACTTCAATGTTTAGGGGCAGTTTTTATATAAAGCTAGAAACTAAAATATTTTAACTTCAGAATTGCCAGCAAAATATAATTCTTAAAAAAGGAACAAACTCAGAGAGGTAATTGGAAAAAAAAAAAAATCCACCCTATATGCAGTATTTCCATTTTCCAGTGTTCAAAGGAACCTGTTTGGAAAGTGATTAAAAATAAAAAATTAAGTGAGTGATTCTTCCTCTTTTCCCACAGGATAACTCATGAATACCTAAAGCTTTGTGTGCTGGTTCTGGCTGTTTGCTTATAAATTTTTCCTAGCTGAGAAAATTCTGACAAATTATACCATAGCAAAGGTACCATGTCAAAAAGCGAAGACAAGTGGAAACCAATCTATTTTCTTTCAGTTTTAAACAGTAAGAAATATGAGCAACTTTGGCATCCCAAGTCCAACTACATTCATGTGTATACTTGAAATCATTCACTCTCATTCTTTGAGGTGGAGTAAGCTGAAGAAATAGAAGTGTTTATGACCACTTTTCCTTAGAAGTGGCCTTATCACAAGACACATAGTAAATGAGCATGTTCCTTTGGTTTAAATATTTATGCAGGCTGGTGTTTTTTCCTGCAATGGTGGTACCTCCTTTTCACTTGCATTTTTGTACTTTGTCATGGCAAGAATTCCAGCCAAGTCTGTACTTTCATTTTCTCTTTGAAATCCTGCACGGGTTCCTAGCAGCCTCCAGCTGAGGCAGATTTCACATCTGAGGTCTGCACTACCACTTAAAAAGTGCCATTAACACTCTACACTGAGACAGAGTGCAAGGAGCACGAGTAGCTGCTTTTCTGGACACACAGATGCAATGTCATACGAGAGAGACAAGAGTCCTTGGAGAGCATGAAATTGTGAGTTCTGCTTTTTTGTCTTGTGTTCAATTGCTGGAAGGTTCTTTGCAGTGGTAGTGAGTGCAAACCAGACCCTGTACAGGAGCTAATCAGCATGGTGGCATTTCCCATTGATGCCTCTTCTGCACCCAGAATGGATGCTGGACCCAAGCATCAGACCACAGGGTACAGTGTGCTGGGATGCTGAGAAACGGCAGTAAGCTGCCTCAGGTAATGAATCCGTCATGCAACAGTGTTTGGGAACTCTCAGTTTCAGTCCTTACACCTCTCTCTTGTACAACAGTTGTTCAAGATACAGCAGTCTTACTGATGTCCTTAAGTAGATTTTCTGAATCTGATGGTAATAGAATATCACAGCATAGGAAACTGATTGCTATTGTTCACCAGGTATCATAATAGCATTCCTGGAAAAAAATGATATTTCACTGAGAAACAGGAAGGAAATATCCAACTCTAGAAACTCATCTCTTCTTCAGTAAGGAGACAGTCATTTGTAAAACACTCTCATTTAGCTGCAGAATATTTTTACCACCTCACATGTGACATGCACAGAATAACAACCAGCATCCACAGAAGAGGATAACACAGACGAGGACAAAAAGAAGACTACACAGAAAGGAAGTACCATTTTCACTGTTGCCTCTGGAGTGCATGACCCTCCAGAGGCGGGGCCCCGGCACCCGCCTGCAGAGTCGGGTCCCGGGAACCTGAGAGCACTCCCAGGCAGCTGCCAATTTTCATCTGCAGGACGATGTTTATGAAGTTTAACTCAAGTTAGAAAAGTTCTTCACTGTGAGGTGTCTAAGCACGATTTAGGATTACAGCTGCCATATTCTGTGATCATCATAGGCACTAACCCCCTTAACAGCTAAAATCCACAACTTTTGAGTTTAGTGCAATTTGCAGAGTATTGTTTCAGTTCCTTTACAGAGATCCTTTTCTGTTGTCACCTGGACTTACGACACTCCTCTGCCCTGTCGTCCCACAGCAAGCCAGATGCTGTACGTTTTGGAGAAGCTCTTTTTTGTCCTCGAAACCCTCTTCCACGGCTGTGCTCTTCTTTCTCAGTCTTGCCCTGAGAGGCAGCTCCTCTTTCCCCCCTTGTGGTAGCTGCACAGTAAAACACTAAGAAGGCTGCGGAGGAGGAGTTACAGCATAAAGCTACAGTGTTTGCTTCTAAGTTAAGCAACTCTTCGGAGCTCTGATTGGGAAGGATACATAAAGCTACAAAGAGGGAAGTGACCGTGCGGGGACAACTGTGCAGTTTCTTCCCTTTATGGAAGGATAGGAGGTTGCTGTTTGGACCAGCAATAAGCTGCCTTTCTTGTTTGTCAGTCACTTGCTTGCCTTCTAAATCACAGACATGTCTTTCCCCACGTTTTTGTTTTGTTTTGGGTTTCCCCCCAAGTTTCAAAATTTCTCAGAAACTGGAAATCCTTAGTATCTGCTATTTGTAGAGAGAATAAGTTCTGTGTTATATTTAGTACAAACATAGTCCTATATTATTATATAACAACTGAAAGTAAAACAGAACGGAGGAGGGGGTGGAGCATCGCACTATGACATTATCATAGAGCAAACTTTATCCTAACTTCTGTGCCGGCTTGCTGCACAGCTTTTCCGGATTTGTGAGTATTTTACATCTTTCAACATCCTCTTGGTCTTCTTTCTTTCTTGTATTTAAAAACATACATTGCTTAGCTTGCAATTAGTTAATGATTACTAAAATTGTCTCATAAGGTTTGCTATAAATATAAAAGACATAGCTTAAGTACTGTATTTAACCTTATACCTGGCACCTGTTTCTCTGTTTCTGCTGTGTGAAAGACACCAGCAAGTACAGAGAATGGGTGCCAGGCAGTGAAAATTTGTCATTGTTTTCTAACAAACTTACACAGCAAACATGAGGAGAAAACAAAGATATTGCTGTGAGTGTGATTTACATAGCAAGACAGAAATAAAAAGCTGGGAGAAAAGTTATTTACTATCTTGGTGTATACACTTGAAAGAACATTAAATGCAGGCAAGGAACTGAAAATCTTCAGTCAAGTGGAAACCTACTGAAAATAGAGATATGGAAATACTGGAGCTGATAGCAATATAATAAGGAGGTATTAGTCTGTTGTAAATCCGAGTAACAGATGCATTTATGAGTCTGTAGTTAAAAATACTACTTTCCACCTAAAAAAAAAAACCAAAAATCAGGAGGAAAAGACAGAAACTTGTGAAGGATTCTATTGTCAAAACCTGCAAAATATCATCTGTAAAAGTCAGTATTAGGAAATTCTCCTTGCTGTGCACAATCACTACCTTGTGATTCCTTCTGTATACAGCAGCTATATTTGTGCTGCTTTCTTTTAAGAGAGTCTGATCTTGCAGAACAAATTCGTGATTATAATTATCACAGCATGTTTTGATGTACTTTCCAAATAGTCATTAGCACAGCACTTCCTTCGCCTGTTATGATTGTGTTTGTTTCTTTTTACAGTTGTCAGTTTATACAACATACTAGATAAATGGAAAGGTATCACTTGGTTATTTTATCTTGGAAGGAGATACTTGATTATAGATCAACTCAGGATAAACAAATGATCTTTATAGATCAATAGAGGTATTAAATTCATTCTTTGGAAGCCTAATGGACTGTTCCAAACTCTTTAAGAACAAATAGCATGGCTTTATAGTCTGTCATAATAATTTCAGCTCTATGAACTCAAACAGTAAAGGTCAGCTTTGCCAGTTCTTTAGAGTGCAACATTATAAGGAGGCAAGCAGCTCCAGTGCCAGCATGATCGGCGGTGGAGAGCTCTAGCGTGGTGCACAGAGAGGTTCTTGAACTGGGAAACCTGAGGGGAGCTGAGAGAGCCACTAGGAGCCTGCAGCTCAGGCAACGGTGGCTGACAGGACCTGGCGCAACGGTGAGCAAGCCCCCTGCTCCGTGTATAAGGTAAGTCCTTAGGGAGTGTGAGCCACCAGGGCAGGCAAGCAGGGTGTGGTGTGGCAGTCTGCACGCAGCTCAGGCAGAAGGGCATGCAGGAAGGGCCATGCCAGCTCAACCAGGGAGCAACGGTATCCACCCAGTGAAAAGTCATGGCCTCTCCAAGCTCTGCGCCAGACAGAGCTCTAGCGGGAACACGCTGACAGCCCAGTGCAAGGCTGCAGCATGTGTCTTGCTCTTATGCCAGTATAGGACAGTAGAGACTACGCCTGTGGGGTGTGTGGCCAAGTAGAGGAACTCCTCAGCTTAGTGACAGAACTCCAAGGAAATGTATGTAGGTTGAGGAGTATCAGGGAGCGCAAGACAGACAGGCTACTGGAATCGCACCCTACCTTCCCTGAGACAGGCCTGATGTAACATGGAGGATACCCTATCCTCTCTCTGCCTGGCTGAACACAGCGACTTAAAGGATAGAGGACAAGGGCAGCAAGTTCCTGCCTGGCACAGCAGGCACGTCTCCTCTGTGACTACTTCACTTTTCCAGGTGCCCTCACATAATAGGTATGAGACTGTGCAAGCGGAACCAAACAATAGCTCATCTAGCATGGAGGTGTCACGGAGGTTACATTAGTTTTTGCCCTGCATCAAAACAGTTTCCATAAAGAAAAAATATCAGATCATCATCATAGGAGACTCTTTCTGACAGCAACAGGAGGCCCAATATGTAGAACAGACCCACTGCCTAAAGAAGTCTGCTGTACCCCCGGGGCCCAGGTTAAAGACGTGAAGAGAAAGCTTCCTACCCTGGTATGGCCCTTAAATCGTTAGCCATTACTGATTTTTCAGGTAGGCAGCAATGAAGTTGCAGCAAGAAGTCTGAGGGCAAGCAAGAGAGACTTTAGGGCCTTGGAACAACTGGTTAATGGGTCAGGAGCACAGCAGTGTTCTCCTCCATCCTTCCAGTTGCAGAAAATATAAGAGAAGAAAGAGTCAGCAGATCTGTACCTGGCTCTGAGCCTCCTGTCACCAGTGGAATTTTGGGGTTTTTGATCATAGGTCAGTCTACATGACACCAGGACTTCTGGCAACAGATGAGGTGTACCTGTCTCAAAGGTATGATCTTCATGCAGGAGTTAGCAGGGCTAATTGAAAGAGCTTTAAACTAGATGTGAAGAGGAAAAGGGGTAAAATGAGGCACCCCAGTTGACTGGAATTTAGCAAATGTGACACCCATCTACAAGAAGGGCTGAAGGAAGATCAGGGAACTACAGTCTTGTCAACCTGACGTTAATGCCAGGGAAGGTTATGGAGCAGATCATCTTGAGTGTCATCACATGGCATGTACAGAACAACCAGTCAGCATGGGTTTATGAATGATCAGGCCCAGCCAGCATGGGTTTATGAATGGCAGGTCCTGCTTGACTAAGCTGATCTCCATGACAAGGCGACCTCCTTTAGTGGATGAGGGAAAGGCTGTGGGTTGTCTACCTAGTCTTTAGTAAAGCCTTTAATACCATTTCCCACAGCATTCTCCTGGAGAAATTGGCTGCTTATGGCTTGGACAGGCATACTGTTCCCTGGGTAAAAAAACTGGCTGGATGGCTGAGCCAAAAGAGTTGTGGTGAAAAGAGTTAAATCCAGTTGGTGGCCAGTCACAAGCGGTATTCCCCAAGGCTGGTTTGGGCCAGTTCTGGTTTATATCTTTATCAGTGATCTGGATGAGGGGATTAAGTGCACTCTCAGTAAGCTTGCAGACGACTCCAAGTTGGGTGGGAGTGCTGGCTGGCAAAGGTCTAGAGAACAAGTCTTAAGAGGAGTGGCTGAGGAACTAGGGTTGTTTAGCCTGGAGAAAAGGAGGCGGAAGGGAGACCTTCTGTCTCCCTACAATGACCTGAAAGGATGGCATAGCAAGGTGAGTGTTGGTCTCTTCTCCTGAGTAACAAGCGATAGGACAAGAAGAAACATCCTCAAGTTGTGCCAGGGGAGGCTTAGATTGGCTATTAGGAAAATACCTTCAACAAAAAGGCTATCAAGCATTGGAACAGCTGCCCAGGGAAGTGATTGAGTGACTACCCTGGAGGTACTTAAAATATGTGTAGACCTGCGCTTAGGGAAATGGCTTCATGGTGGACTTGGCAGCACTAGGTTAACAGTTGTTCCTAAATGATTCTGTGATACCCTCCTGTCTTCAGGAATGTTTGAATTGCCTAGGAAAAAGAATATTACGGTCAGATCAATTCTGAGGCTTCCTAGATCCTCTATGAAAATAGAGAGAGATCACAGGGGACAGAAGTACAAGCTAATGTGGAGTAATTGGGCAGTATGGATAATACAGTGCTGGAATTTTTCTGAAGATTGAGAAGTTCCTTCTAACTTCAGCTTGCAGTCTCTTCCAAACCATAGCCAGTAATATATTTGACACAGACCTTCCAATGACAGGTCCAGGGTTCTGTCAAATGTTTCCCTCTTCTGTGCTGAGGGAGTTCAGCTTGCTGCAGCCAGTATATAAGGGAGAAGGACAATCTGGAACAGCCCCTCTCTGAGGCACATTATTCTATAGAAATAACATATTTTGTGGTGTAAAGCAGATCACTGTATCACTGTTCTGCAGGCCAGTAAAGTATTATTGCTTGCAGGGATTAGTAAAGCACAGCAGCCCAACCTCAGCTGCTGGAAAAAACTTGTTAGTCTGCACAGAAGCACATATTTTATTCCTTTTTTCTTTTTTTTTTTTTACATAACATGGTCTTGTTGCTATATCCTCTATTTCATGACTGCATCACCAGTAGAAGCTAAAATCCTGGAGAGTAAATACACTTGAATTCATGTTTTTCATGCGGTCTTTCTATGGACTTAAAAACTCAGACTGGAAAACACTGACTTTAAAGGTTATGTTAACTACAGGAATGTAATGCACTGCCAATTCTCATTATTATAACACATTTTCAATTTTCTACACCGAATTATAGTGTTAGGCAAAGCAAAAACATCTCAATTATGCCCATTTGCTGTGCATGCATGCTAAAATATTTCTAATTTTCAAAAATATTTCAAAAGTAATTGCTTACAAGTGGAGGGGAGAAACCCCTACTATCAATTATTTATTATCAGCTGTTCATTATTCAGAGAAATGTGTATAAAGCAAAACCTTCCTTTTTATCAGGAATTCTCAAATTTAAAGATATTCTTCTTACTCAACCCAGATTTCTGATTCCCACTTTACAGGCTCTGATAGGACAGGATTTCACTCTAAGGAATAAATGCTGACATATTAACAAACATGCTGTTACAGCTGTCTTTGCAAAGACCAGACTCTGGTAGAATGCACTATTAATAGGTCCTCGTAGGAATATATGCTCAGAACTCCTTTTTGAGCTGGAGCTGAAAGAAATAGGACCATGTTGGAGATCCCCAGTACCTGGACACACAGATTATTCTTCCACAGACAAAAAGACTTCTGATTTCATATCATTAATCCCAGATCAATTTACCTTCTCACTCCTTCTTTGCCAAGAACCGAGCCTTAGCCATCAATGTCCACCTCAAAGGTTCCTGCCTATGGAAGGCTCCTCTGCTCTTGCTGGGCCAGGGCTGTTCCCATGATGGGCACTATGATCTCATGCTCAGAATGAACCTGAAGGAAGAGGAAAGAAGAAAGAATTAAGAGATAAGAGAAAGACATTTCATCCAAACTGCCTGTACTGTATCAGTACAAGCAAAGATCCCACCTGGCCAGGGCTGAGTGCCACCTTTGAGATAATATTCTGTACATCTCTGTGAAAGGTCTAGTCTGGGATTTCCTCCACATTCTTTAGCTGATATGGGCCTTTTCCCCACCATCCTTCAGGATTTATGGGCAGCTGGGGCTAGGTTTTTATATCATGATGACAATACAAAGAATTCAGGCACCTCAGCAGATACTAAAAGCTTTCTGTCTTCCATTCATAAATTACTGTAATAGTGTAAAATAAGGAGACTGATACTTTTTTAGCCAAGAAATTAGTGAAGAGCAGCAGAAATATTTGGAAGCCAGCAGGAGATGTGCAATATAATTAAACTGTTGTCATTGCTGATAGGTTATTATCAGCAGGTAACAAGATATATGCATCATTTTAAACCATCTTACAGTATTTTGTGCTATAACAGATGAAGTATGTATTTAGTGGCAGCACAGGGTGATAACTCAGACATTCTTCCCATTATAGCTGCTATAAATTACAACTTAACAGTTTAATAGTTTATCAATTAACTTGAGTGCCAATGCTTAAGAATTCTTTACCCAAAAATGGCTGATTTTTTTATCCACTGAGGAACTGTTTCTAAGATCCTGCTTTATCAAAATACCTGTAGACTAGAAGGGTTGCACTCTGTGACTATTCAAAAAATCTTCTAGCAAAGTTGCTGAACCAGTCCATCCATGACTAGAATTTATCACTTTTTTAGGGTGCCTTTTTGTAAATATAATTTACTGGCTGTAATTTATTTTTGAGCAAAGGAACCACCATATTCTAAACCACTAGCCAAAAATGGTTCACACTGCACCTTTCCCTGGCTTTAGTCTCTGCCAGAAGGCTATGAATGTCAAGTGCTCAGTAATTTTCCTCCCTAGAGTTTAAGCTATGAATAAGGACAGTGTAGAGAAATTTATTGTCTCAGCTGGAGAAAGGACTTGAACTCATCAGTGATGTCAGGTCACCATCTGCCACATATATTCTGTTTGTTGCAGATACAAAATATGATCATGCAGTTGTTGAGCTTATGATCTTATGAACAACTCTTGCAGTAGAAGATCCATTTTACCTAAACGAATGACAACACTGACAAGTTTTAATTTCACATATCATAAATGTATGAACTTGTTATGAATAGTTAACATGTTGTTAACTATTATTAACGTAATATCAATTCTGTAACCAACATGATGGAAAATCAGGCATGAACTCTGGCCATTTTTTATGCTGCATTGGCTAATTAAGAATTATGGCACTTGTACCAGTGGTGTCTGCATTTATCTCTGCTACGTGACATAGTGTAACTGTCTGTCTTCCTGCAAAAGGAAGTAGTAACCTCACCTGCCCCTCCACGGCTTAAGGAGAGATATTGCAGGAACATGGAAATCTATGTGGCTGACATCTGAAAGCTGCAGCTGGTTACTGCCATCAACCTGCTTGTGGGAGTAAAAGGTATCAATTTAAGTGCACCTGTTAAAAAATAACTAATTGTACCTGTTTGTATAAGCCATACTGGCTTTCTCCTGGGTCATGGAGCCTCAGTTTGAATGTCATTAAAATAATAGACATCTGCATATCTGTTAAAAATGAGTGCATGTAGCGTGCTTTTAAGAACACAGGAATGGGAGTCACAGTAATTCTTGCAGGCTCACCTATTGTAGCATGTGGCAGAAAACCAAAGTATGGTTTGTTTCCTTCCCAATGTACTTCGGTAATGGTGTAGTTGCTAGGTGGAGTTTTAATTTATGCTGTTTCTTGGCAGGGTAAATAAATCAAATAGTGTTTTGTATTCTTGAGTTTAGATCAGTTCTGAGTTAACATGATTAGTTGTACACTACATGGAGTGTAGATCACTGCTGGGCAGCAGAGAGGATGAGAAGGAGGGTGGCACTGGGAGCCCACCTGGGATTGCACTGGTCTGTGTTATCAACCTGGGGATTTCAAGTGTAATCCTGCCTGGTGATGACCAGCATCGGATGCTGGTGACGGCAGAAATCATCAGACTGGGGTTTACATGCTGCCTCACTGCTTACAGCTTTCTTTCACTCATTTCATTTAATTTTAAGTCTTTTTTATTTAATAAAAGAATGTCTTCAGCCTTAGTCGCACTGTATCTTACAGTAATTTGTTACACAGGTTCAAGAAATGTGATTTTATACTGGCTAGAATATATAAATATATACACATAAATATAAAACCAAGGAAAACCAGGAAAAGCAGATATCCTGTATTTCATGTATTCTTTTTTATGGCATGTCTGATTTGCTACACATTACTTGTGCCATGTTTTAAATCCATAATAATTAATTTTATTTGCCCTCCCTTTTTGGCATCTATCAGTATAGTATGCAAGTGCTTCTTGGACTTGAATTAGTTCATTTTTCTCTAAAGTCCTGAAGAATAAGAAAATGGGAATTTTGCTTTGCAAAATGATTGGAATATTAGAATAACCCACTGATTTTGGGTCCAGTATGTGATACCTGGAGATTTTTTTTTTAAGAGATTGCTTAGCATCCTCAAGGATTGTCTTTGTTCACCCAGTATATTCTGTTGCAGCTGTGAGAACTCAATGCTTTTTCAAACTAAGCTCTAGAGAGGGCACTGATTTCTTCAAACTGTAGCATCTACATTGGAGAAACATGCATCTGAGCTACCTGACTATGACTAGAAATATATACTTGGGGACCACAAAACACCTCATCCTAAAGGCAGATACACAAAGCAACTGAAAGTCTAGATTATTTGTAGGAGAGAACTCAGAAAATGATCGCCGCTTGTGAAAAACGTGGGTTAAGGAACTTGCCTGAATCATAAGAAGATGGTGGTGAAGGCAGGGACAGGACTCTCCAGGGCTGCTTTCAGTTGCCTTTGTCACTGAACTCATGTTTTTCTTTCTGTGATTTTCTGCCTCCTTTTCTATACATCTTCCATGTTTAAATAAGGACATTTATACGCTGTTTTTTTCAAGAGCTTGATCTATTCAGTGAACAAAATACATTTTGTTCATAAATCATGTGAAAGAAAAAGGAAATTGTTACATCATAGAACCATAAAATGGTTTAGGTTGGAAGGGCCCATCAATATCATCCAGTTCTAATCCCTCTACTATGAGCAGGGACACCTTCCACTAGACCCGGTTGCTCCAAGCCCCGTCCAACCTGGCCTTGAACACTGCCAGGGA